AGAGCCAGAAGCGAGAAGCCTGATGCAATCTCCTGATCTAGCGACTGGAAGCAGTAGGCAGGCGATTATGGATATCGCTTGTGGATATCCGTCCATCCAGCTTACCAAAGAGCAGAGTGAGGAGGCGATCAACTCTGTTGATCGGCTGGATGCAGGTGGCATCATCACCGAGTTTACTGGCTTTAGTCACCATCTGCGGATTGTATTATCGTCTATAATGATCAAGCCACCAAAGATTGGATTCATAGTGTAGTTCAGGGCTTCACTATCGGTGGGAGGGGGGAGGATGAAAATCAATGCTGGTTGTTTTGAAGAACTCAAAAGAGCTGTCAGGATAGGGTTATACTTCCCTGACGAGAATATGAGATAAGGGCAGAATTGATGAGATAAAAAATTCTCTTTAGACTATGTTTTTATTTTTAAATAAATTAATACGAGCGTGGAAAAAAAAAGAAATGAAAAAATAAAATGTATAAGGCTATGATAGTCACAATTTATTTTTCTCACATTCCAACATTTCAGCTCTTTCAGGCTAGTCTCAAGAATTTTATAGAAATGACTCAAAATTACACTAAACTATAAAGCATTGCAAGCTATCAGTAATTACAATAATTTGTTTAGTCATACACAACATGAAGTTGTTTATTTATATAAAACCACCTTTAACTTAGCTAATTGTTGTTACCAATTATATTTTTATACACACTATTCATAAGTAAAGTTAATTTTTTAAAAGTATGAATTGTATGATCCTAATTATGAGTATGAGGAAGCAGAGTAGCTCAGTGAATTGGCCACTAGACTGCTAAGCTCAAAGGCGAATCTGGCTGATGTCAAATAATTTTTTATTATTTATAGAGGTACACAGCCTCTATAAAGTGGGTACTGTTAATTCAATAAACAATTAAGGAGCGAAAATTGTTGGTTGAGCGAGATTCTGGCCTGATCACCTCTCTGCACAACAGTTGGCCTTGAAACAGTACTTCAAGTAACAGTACAGTTAGTTAGGTTTTTTAAATTATGTGTATGTCAATTTAAATGAACTTTGCAATTAATATGTTACAGTTTCACTTATCTAAAATATATACAAACACATATATACTTATACGATTAAATCGGATTGTTAAAAACAAGTGAATTATCAATTAATTTATAACATCAGGTATTTAAGTGGTCTTTACTGTTTAATAACCAGTTAGAAGAAAATACCAAAGACTGGTCTAAAACAACAGAAATTTAATGAAAGCAAAATAAAAAGTTTTAAAGCAAGCATAGCCTTATATATTTTAATTGATAAATCTTTCTATACTTGGAAATCCTAACTAAAAAAAAAAGGCTGACTGATCTAATAATAAAATTAAATAGGTCAATTCTATTTTCATTTTATATCTATATAAGTTAAAAACAAATCTTTAAGATCTGTTATGCCAACAGAAGAAAAAGTTAAAAACGATATTTCAAATACATATACTGATGTTTGTTTTATTTTTATTATTTTATTTATTTATTTTATACAAAAAATTTAAACCAAAAGTATACAGAAGTTTTCTTTGAATGAAGTTTTCTAAAGAAGTTAAAAAGAATGAATAAAAAATAATCCATGAATAATCATTTTGTAATAATTATTCATTATTACTAAATTAAAAATAAGAATTCCAGTGATTAATACTTTAATGAATGATTAGAACTCACACTCATGGCCTCCGAGAATATCTTAATAAGAAGAACAATAGTCCTCATGAGTTATGTTTACAGAGATCATCTCAGAAGCATTATGTACACTATAAAGAGGTTGCAAATTCAAAACTTTTCCAGGTCTAGATGAGAAAAATAGAGTTACCAATTTAATTAGAACATGCAGAAGACTTCATGAAGAAGCTATGAAACGCCATTCTGGACACAACTATGTAACAGTCCAATCCTTGATATTTTCAGCAAATATTTTCTAATTCTATGATTTATCTTCTGATATCAGGTACTCATTTTTAAGTAGTTGAGGGGACAAGGGTCAGTCAAACCATGAATTATATGCTAACAAGGTATATTTTATCAAAGGGAGATTTAGTGTACTTATGAAATGCTCCACTGTTATCAGGTGATAAGTAAAATTAATTTATTTAGATCAAATTCATTACATTATGATTTAACCATTATTAATATTTAAATATTATTTATTCTGTTTCATAAGCCATGACCCTGGGATCAGAGTGGATACCTCTCCAGGGACTCACCCAGCTTCTATGAAGTGTGCACCCTTAATTGAATAATTAGTTAAGGAGAAAAGCCTGGCGGCTGAATATATCAGTCAAATCACCTTCTTTGACTAAGAAATAGTACTCCCTAAATAGTATTGAATCTAAGACCCTTCATGGGTTGTAGTGGTACAGTTTTTTTTTTTTTTTTGTTTTATATATATATAAAACTAATGTTAAAATTTTATTTAAGTACAAAACTACATTTTTGTTTTTGTTTATATGTATAGATATTTAAAAGTATTAAATAAATCTAAGACAGATCAAAACTATTCCATGGAACGATGCAATAAAATATGTATTGATATTGACATTAATATTACAATTTGGAAATAGAATCACTGGAATCACATGCTTGTGTTATGTTACAATATAAAACAATCAGTAAGTAATTCTGGATGTATTAAAAAAAAAAAAAAAAGAATGAAGATCATCCACATGAAAGAAAATCATTTTCTTCACATCTGAATAAACAAATTGATATTATATTTATCCTATTTTGTTGGAAAATAGTATTTCGGATAAGAAGTTATCATGTGGAATGTTAATGAATAAATGAAAATCACCTGAATGACTTAATTTTTCTGTACAATTTGTTATTGAATTCAGCTCGATCATTTATTCATTGATTAAATCACAGATTAAAATCACTCTTTTTGTTATTAAATAATGTTAGTTCTTAAAATTATAATTTTTGTAAACATTATGATTTAACGTTCCTATTCAGCATTGCTATGTTCATTTATGTTTAACAATAGTATGCTTTAAAAATACTTTTGTATTTTAATAACTAGGCATACTATTGTTAATAAGAGGTTTAAGATATTTTTTAGATCTGAAAATTGATTTTATGGTAATTAAATAAGTAAATTAAAGGAGATAAGTAAATTAAAATCTTCAGATCCAGGTCCTACCAATGAGGATATATATATGCTATACAGATTCTAAGGGATATTTATGCATGGGTAGGAAAACTTAGATTTAATAGATAGATTTGTGTATTTGGACAGTTTGAAAACATTTATTCTAAAGTTAGGTTAGGGAACTGATTTAAATTTCCAGGAGGACAACCCAATAAACAAAAGCAAACAGCTGTAATATAAGATTATAAAAGTATAAAAATATTTGACCTGCAATGAAGCCTGACTGACCAATCCCTTACGATTCCCTTCTCCCACATTACATGCTAGTGAGTATTTAAGAAGTGGCATTAAGTGGAATATTTAAAATTCAGAATAAAAATAATTTGAAACAGGCAATTGTGAAAGAAAGGTACAAAATAGTTTGAAATACAACAAAAAAATCTAGTCTATTCTATGCCTCAAACACTTACTACTGTAATTGCAGCTAAGTGGAGGGTAACAAAATATTTTCTTTTTTAATATTCATTATTATCTTAAGTGCATGTTAACTTTTGTTACTGTTTATTTTCGCATTTGTCAAATAAAATTAAATATGATTGATAACGTTTTTTGTAGAAAATGCAGTGTATTATTGTTGTTACAATAAATTTAATTAAATAAATAAGTTACTTATTGTTAAATATAATAAACATATGATTTTCAATAAATTTTAATATTAATTTGTGTTTTTTAAAAAATATTTAATTTCTTATTGAGTTAATTTTTAGAAGTATATGTACTTCTGTTATTGATAATATTTTTAATAAATTTACTTTTATAATGATACCAAAATATTTAAATACAAGTTGTCAATCTAAAAAAAATAATACATTACACTAAGACTTATTAAGTTTATGTTATTTCAAAGTATAAAATATTTTATGGAAAAGCTATTTGTAGATATTTCATGTGATTGACATTTCAATAAATATAAAATGGTTAATATCGCCTATAACATATTTTCAAGACTTCAATACAATAGCTTTTGCTGATTTTAAGAATTAATAAATAATAGAAATTGAAATGTGCATTTTTTAAATTACATTAAAAATAACTTCTCATGATAATGATATTGAAATAAGTAATATATGTTTTAAGTAAAAAATTTTATCTAATTTATAAAAAGTTTAAATAAACCAATCTACAGTTTGATTGATTGAATATAATAAAGGTAAAGTTCACTTATTTTTAAAAGTAGCTCTTTCAAGGAAGACAGTCAGTGTAAAAATAATTTTTTGGCTTCTGTTTCTGCGTGCCAGATGAATGAAGAACTTTCCATTGAATTCTAACATATATATGAATAGCACATTTTTTAATGTATCAGAACAAAAAAGCAAAGACAATATGGCACAAAATTCTTAGTAAAATGATTTTTAAAAATAATAATTTTTATGATATTTTAAAATGACGACAAACGAATTATTCAGCGAATATACTTCAAATAGTGTAATCATTTTGAAGTAACTAATATTAGATACTAGAGATATATAAACCCGGAAAAACAACTTGATCACTGCAACAATTTTTATTTTTAAAGACGATTCAGCAATCAAACCATCATCAATTAGTTTTACAGTTGGTATAAAAAATAAACAATGAGCTGTCCTAAACAGCCATATTAATCAAATTAATTAATTTACATTTAACATGATTATCCTCTTATACACCACCAGTAAAACCAACAAATGACAGTTAGTAGTTGATAGAATGGTGATGGCCTGACAGCCGAAATGTCTTGAAAATAAACTGTTTTTGGGATAGCGAAGTTGTTTTGCTAGGAATCCCTAATAAACTGCATACCTTAAGCACTAATATACTACAATATTAAATATTGAAACTGCTTCACCTGACCACCATGAGCAGAAAATGGTATCAATGATGCAGTAGGAAATATTACTTTGATATGTGGAAAGCGTGCACTACTCCCTTTAAGAGCCCTGATGGTCCCTCCTATGTGTGGCCCAGAGTCAGCTAAAAAAACAAAATACAATTAAAATATTTCAACATAGGATTCACATTTAGGGTCTACCTATCAAAATAAACCACAAAAATTTTGTATTTTACGTGACACTGGCTGCACCATTCCTTATACTTAAAATAACTATTTATATCATTACTTCAGAAGGATGACAGAAAGATATGAAATAATGTAGATTCCCAAACTGATTATGATTATAATTGTAAATTGTAATTTTGATAAGATTTATTAAGAGGAGTTAATTATAAAGAGGAGTATTTTACAAAAAACTAAGATACATGTAAAGATAATCATTAAGGTATAACATAATCAAATATTTCTTAATAATCATAGAGTACTTTACCTGTGCCATGCAGAAATATAAGACAACCCGTGGCAGTATCTTTTTTTTGCTCTATCCGGAATATTGGTTCCATCGAATCACCTAAATATTCTGAGTAACACATTTATATGTTTAATAATTGACAGTGAGCTACTTAAAATAGTTAAGCTATATATTAAATTAATTTAGGGTTTTAAAATTGATGTCGTACGTAACGACTACTTTTGACTACCACAGCCCACCACCTACACCAGCGGCTGAGAGCCAATTGACTGAGAGCAAAATCTAGAAACCTACTTGAACTTATTGATTGGCCAAAGTCGATAGTGCTGACTCGATAATAGTGGCGCGCTTCGCAGCGATATATCGAGTTTAAGCCGACCTTCTATCCTAATCTTCTTCTTCAGTTCAACTTAAGTAAGTCATGTTTTTTAATTTTTATTATTTTCTTATAATTATTTAATTTAGAATATATTTCGAAATCTCTTTGCATTAACATAAACGTGAAATAGAAATTGAATAAAAACACATGATAAATTATGCCCCCAATATGTTTATTATGAAATATGATTAGACTGATAAGTAAGATATTTAGGAAGAATTAAAACTTTTTGAAGTTTTGTGATGATGTAAAATAAATATGGTCACATTTATTTTTATTTTTCATTCATCAAATAAAACTTGTTTTTTATATTATTGTTACAATTAGTGTTAGTCCAGAATTATGTTATTATAACATAATTCGATCATAATCCCCATCCCCATCCCCATCCCCATTCCCATCCTCATCCTCATCCTCATCCCCATCCCCATCACCACATATCCCCACATATATTATTACGGTAAGGTTCGAAATCGGTTTTGTAGCAAATATAAGCTCCTGTCATGCTCAAATACCATGAATGGAGTACCGTTGGATTCAGAATTTTACGGGTGATTAGCGAAGCGCATTCTCCACATTTGTTTTTCTTTCTAAAATAAATAAAGTCGATACAAACATTTTGCTAGGATTCGATACTGGAACGGTGGTAGGTCTGTAGATCGATACGGAACAAATTGGACCTTGAAGATTTTGATGTATACAGCAAGACCCAGATAGTTCCCACGGCACTACCGGATCCTGCGTTTTTACGCACAAAAACGTACTATTTTCGAGATGACGCAAGGCATAGGGTTCGCATCCACCCAACCTTCCGTTAATTGTAGTACTGTGATTGAATATGGGTCTCATTTCGTCGACTTGAGGCCTCTATGATCAAGAGAGGAGGAGTTTATATCATTTATCGATGGTGTTTTTGATCGGCAAGCCATATCATCGTTAATTCTTCACCAATTCCCGATTGAGCCACCGATTTCGAAGGCTCCCTTCTCCTTCAGGCGGGAAAAATAGTCCAATCACTCCGATTCAGGCAAAAAAGTTATGAAAGAAAACAAACTTTATTTTCGAATAAAGAAAACATTTTTATATAAAAGATTACTAAATTCTCTACAAAAGGGAAAAAAAAATCATCGAAATCGGACAATTATTAGCAAAGATACAGCTTATTGAAATTTGTAAAAATGTTGGTTCCAAACATGAAGATTTAAATTAATTTTTGTTTCCTTAGTCGATTATATCTATCGATAAAGTAACAATTGACTTCTTTATTTTTTGATACGTTGCATTATTTTATTTTCTTATTAATTTGGCATTTGATAACAATATGCTGTGCGAATTCTTCGCACGGGCCTACTAGTCATTAATCATTAAAAAATTGAGGGAAACATATAATTAAATAAATTCGATAAAAAAAGAGTAAATCACGATTTAAAAATCCTGATTTATTAATAAAACAAAATTTCAATTTCAATTAAAAATCGAGCTTAAGCTACTTAAAATTACTTATAAGTAATAAAAAATAGACTCCTTCAAAAATATTTGATTTCCATTTTAATTTATGTATGTTATTATCACAATAAATAATATTATGACTAAGTAAAAAGTGTGGTGAGCGCAACACACCACTTTCACTTGAACTTAGAATAGAAATTATTTTCTGGCCATGTTGGGGTATTATAAATTTCTTGAATTGCATTTTTAACTGAACTAAAGCTAATATATTACAGCTAACAAACCATAAATAATATTAAAATAACAAAAGTCCTATTTATTAAATCTCCGATTGATTACGGTTGTGGAATCATTTGATTATGGATTGTACGACTATTAGTTATTAACTGTTATTTTCCATTGCAAAGATTAAGAAAACGAAATTAAGAAATTTGCATTGTCTGTCATAGACAGGTCAAAAGTTTTCATACTGATTGTAAGTGGATTCTGTTGTAATATCGCAAAAGGAAAATTTATCAATTATTCACTAATTTAATTTTCTAAAATTTTACGGAATAAACGGACGATAGATACCTAATTATTTAAATATAATATCAGATCTAGAGTTATTAAACTACAGTAAATATGTTTAAGATTATAAACTTATCCATGAAATATGCTTTTTATACATTTTCGCCCTGGATAAGTATTTTTCTTTTTTTCTCCTTTATTTAATTATCAAATTCTTTCAAGAGTTATATTTAGCATTATTCCATAACTCCTAACAATGATAAATAGTTAATATTTATAATAAACCAAATTAAAGGTACGTTAGAGGAGGACATGACAGTTTTGGGATTTCATGTTGTGACTTGAATTTATTGCAAATTCAGGGAATATGTTATTCTTAAAAATGGAATAAGTTGAAATTTAATTCACTTTTATTTTTAACAACACATGTCAACACATTGAACAACACTACTATTACTAAAAACATATGACGTACATTAATTTTAATATACTTAAACATATGGTAATTGTTTAGGATATAACAGTCTCCCTCACTAAAATAAAGTTCAATATTAATAAAGTTTAAAGTTGATAATCATGCAAATACGATGTAAGCCGCTTCATTCGTGTTGACCTTCTCGGCAGATGTTGAGGCTCCGGATCTATAGGTTTCTCAGGCTGGGGCTCAGGATGTGAATGCCGTGGCTCAGGGTGGATTGGTCGTTGTCGATCCTCTTGATTCACATTAGGTGCCATAGGTACTCCAAAAGTCTGTGGAGTTTCTCCATTTGCAAAAGTGACATGTTTCTCCACCAAGATTGAACGTAATTGGTCTACATGACGTTTAAGAGTCCTCCCAGTGTCCAGTTCAATTATGTAATGTCGCTGACCTAACTTACGTTTTACAACACCAAATAACCAGACGTTGCGATTGTTTAAATAAAACTGTGCCTGTACTCTCTCTCGCTCTTTGAATTTCCTGATGTTGAATTCCGCAGATGTTGATTTATAGGCATTAGGATAAGGTCGTAATGTATCTAGTTTGATTTGAAGTCTCCTATTTAGGTAATTTTCTGCTGGTGACTGTCCACTTGTTAAGGGCGTTGCCCGATATCTAAAAAGAATCTGACGAATTTTGATAGGTAAAGGAGAAGGGTGAGTGGCTGCAGCTTTAAGGCGGTGTTTCAGAGTTGGGACATTACGTTCAGCAAGTCCATTGGTTGAAGGATGCCCAGGTGCAATGAATTTTTGAACTATGCCAACACCTTTGCAAAATGTTCTGAATTTTTCGCTAGTTAATACCTGCATCATTGTCGGAGACAAGAACTTGAGGGTATCCGTGGGTAAAAAACAATATCTTCCAGAAGATTTATAGTTCTCTCTGTGGTAGGAGTGTCTCGTGAAAAATTGACTTCAGTCCATTTAGATTTGGCATCAATGCGTAACAAAACATGGTGATTATCGAAAGGAACGGCATAATCAATTTAAAAAACAAGCACTTATTTTTGTTCAAATGTAAATCGTGTTCTAAAAGTATTTTTAAACAAAATTCAAGTTTTTTGCACATTCTTCTTCTGTCAATCCATGTACCATGATGTCATCGAAGTAAGCTTCAGTATTTGGAAGTCCTAGTAAAATATTACATAGCACTCGGTTAAATCCAGATGGAGCAGTTTTAATACCAAAACTGACTCTATTCACCTTGTATGTTCATCTGTGAGTAACCATTGTCTGAATATCGCTGATTTTTCATCTACTTTTAAGTGAAGGTAAGCTTTAAAAAGATCTAGCGTACAGAAGTATTTTGAACGGCGAAGACTATGTAATACATCATCGATTCTTCGTATAGGATGGTTTGAGGAAACTAATCGTTCATTTACTCCACATTTATAATATACACATAAACGAACTCCACCATCTGCTTTTGGAATAATTACTAAAGGAGATCCCAAATAACATGTTGCTACTGATGTAATATTTCCTGCTGCTTCTAATGATTCAAGCTCTTTATCGAATTTCTCACGCAATGCATATGAAACATCCCGTTCCAGAGTAAAACTTGGTTTCACATTAGGTCGGAGTTGTAATTTAAGTTCGTAGTTATGTACACATCCTACTTTTCGTGAAAACACTGGAGCGTATTCTTCGATAATATATTCAACCGAATTTATTGAGTAAACTAAGTTTGACTAGGTTAAAGTTTGCATTTCGTCATCAATGTATTTTAATTCTAAATTAAGATTTCTTATCCATATTCTACCTAATAAAGCATCATGACCTTTCGGTACAATAAACAATTCTTCATTTATAGTTTTATCTTAATAAGATACGACAACAATAATCTTTCCCAAAGGTTTAATTATATGGTTGGAGTAGGAACGAAAAATGACATTTGTTTCTTGAACTGGAACATTTAAATTCAATTTTCGAAAATCATTCTCAGAGATCAAAGAGAAACGAGCGCCTGAATCTACTTCGAAACGCTGAGGAATACCATTTAATTTTACTGTGACAAAATATTCACTGAGGTCTCGAGCTACGTCAAATAAATCAATAGTTTCCTGTGAATGTGAATGTTTTGAAAGATTAGATGTAATTTTATATGTACCGAAACAAAGATTTTCATTTTCATTTTGAACATCAGCGATCTGTTTAGTCGTACTAGAATGAGATCTATTTTGTTTATTATTATTATTATTATTATTTTATAGCAATGTCTTCATGCATACTTTGGCTATGTGTGCAATTTTCCCGCATGAATTACATTTTAATCTATCACACTGCACACAACAGTCTTTAGCAGTATGGTTAGAATTTTCACAGTTGAAGCATAAGTTTTCTATTCATAAAGAACGATAGTCAATTTTATTTTTAAGAAATCTGTGAGATGGGATCTGTGAACGATGGCATCTTTGATTGGAATTACTTCGATTTTTACTCCTGCGTCTATGCATGTTTCTGGCAATCTTATTGATATTAGTTGACTCTACACTAGAATCACATGTTAGTTTGGTAAGTTCGTTACTTTCTAGCCTAGCAGCTTCAAAAGCTATCGCTTTGGTGACAAATTCATCGAATTTATTGCATTCAGATTGTAACAGGCGTTCTCTTATCCAGTTTTCTTTCAATCCTCGAATGCTCTGAGTAGGACATCGGCAAATGAAACGTTATTGTTACAAGAACATGTGATGCAAAAATCACAGTCAAGTAAACCCCGTC